CCTGCTGATGTTTTAAATGGCTTGCATATACAGGAAACCAGCTTCCATTTCATGTTGATACTGGTCAGCATGCATTCCAGATGGAAGTCCATTTGAAAATCACAACAGCGATAGGGGCTGTATTCCCATCTGCTGTGTTTGCCTTTCTCCGTTCTTCCTGGCTGTTATGAAGGAGGAGCTTGTCACTGTTCGTGGCAATTCTGAGGGCTAGTAGCATTTTGGTAAGTGTTTTTTCCTGCCTGAGTGACAGCTGTAGAAGTTAGACTGAACTGGCTATGAAGTAGTCAGTTCTTCCTTTGGCTGTCTGAAGCAAGCATTCGTCAAAGGATCCTTCCATGTATGTACTTGATGCTGATGATGGGCTCTTTGTTATAGCTTCAAGCCACATTTAATGGCAAAAAGATGTTGTATGCTGGACATTGTATTTAGATGAAATTTGTCTGATAAAGGAGGTGGTAAAGATAACATGAGTGGGAGGTCTGCATTTCTTAATGGTCAACATAAAATAAATGTGTCTCCTCATGCTGCTTGCCTTTACTATAGTGATTAGCATGCTGGTTTTGTTTCAACAAGTTGTGCTTCAAAGAAGGGAAATGATGGAGGAAGATTTGAAGGCAATGCAGATGGAAATATAGTAGTTGATGAAAGATGGTGTAAGACCACTGCACAGCTTGAGCTCTGCAGGTTGTAAGAAAAGATAATTGCTGTTATGGCTGTGAGTTGATAGGGTTGAATTAAGCATTCAGTGCTTAATTTTAATTAACTGTTAGATATTTGTAAAACTTCACACTTCTTTTTGATGTTACGGAGTCCTTTCCTGTTGCTTTACCTGTGGTGTTATGGGTGCCTCTCCTCATTTAAAAGGGATCTACTTTACCATCTGATTATGAAAGCTGTGTCTGTGACTCTGTAGCTTTATTGGTTTTTGGGCTAGGGCTGTCTTCTAGAATCACTTATAATCCAAAAGCTTATAAATATAACCGTGAGACCAGTAATGTGTGATTGGGCACTGACTTACAACTTTACTCTTTCTCAACCCATTATAGATGTATGATTGCTTTTATTTCTCAGTAGTTGTGGTAGGTGCAGTTATGTACGATTTTAGTCACAGATGAGCACATATTTTTTTTCTGTGGCTGGTGGTTCCAGTATGCTCTCCTGCTGTACTTAAGTAGTATTTATTTATTTTGAGAGCCAAACAAAAGAAGAACCTTGATATGGCTGAGCTGAGTACCAACCACGCCTGGCTTGGATGCTCTGCTTCAAAAATGCAATATATAAATAGAAATTAATCCCTAACTCTTCAGTTACTGAATAGGGAATTTAGTTGCCCAGATTGGAATTGTAGAGATGGGATACTGAAGGCAGACAAGAAAAAAAAAAATCTGCATCTCTTGCATGTGTAGGTGTCTAAAAAAAGATTCAAAGTCTGAAAATCCCATAGATTGTGAGATATCTTTTGTAATATAGGAAACACCTGTGGGTGTCTGATATCTTTTTCATTATAGGAAACTGACTTTCTTTTAGGGCATAACAGAAAGCAATGTACAAAGCATGTACAATAGCTTTTTCTTTGAAATACACTGGTCCAATCCTCCCCTTCTCTGGACTCAGGAACTCTGAAGTTTAGCTCGCACTCCTCAGAAAAATATGCTAGCTATAAGGCTGGAGACTAGAATGCATTTGGGTTACTTTTTTTCTCTCCTGTGTTGAAGGTGTAGCCCCATGCAGCCAGGAATGAAATTATTGATAGATACAATAGAAAATTTGTAAGTACGGTACTCATGAGAGGGTACTCATCCTCATGAGAGGGAGGGATTGTAGATTGCCCAAATCCGTATAATTTTTTTAATTTATTGGCGATTGTGAAGATTAAGGTCTTATCTGGAAATATGAATTGGTAACTATGATGTTATATAGTGGAACTACTAAGCAGCAAGAATGCAAGTAAAAATGGTAAATGTGTTTTTACTGTTAAGTGACGGTTTGTAGGTAAAAAAGTTATCTCAATTTTTTTTTATTATAGGAAAAACTGCAAGCAACAGCCAGTGCTTCCCTGCCCCTCCCCAAACTAAAAGCAAACTGGCAGTTGAAAATAAAGGAAAGCTGGAGAGGCAGAGATGAAGTTGTCTTTTTTTTTTTTTTTCTCAATTGCAGCTAAACCACCTGTAAAGTTCTGTTTCTATACTTCCAAGCATTTCAAACTAAGTTAATTGCTGTGCCACTTGTCACACTAATGACTTTATGGAATGGTAATAAGACTGATGTGGCAGAATCTGTGTGGAACCCTAAATA